CAGGCCAGGCACACTCAGGACTGCTGGTAAGCACAGGGGAGGGGAGACAGACACGGAACGGAGGCTTGCGGGAGCCCTCGGAGGGAGCAGGGTGCTGCTGACGTCTTGGTTTTGGACCGCGGCCTCTGGAACCCTGAGGAAACCCAGTGTGTCTGCTTGGTTGTTGGGGTCCCAGGACAGTAATACAAGGGCCCAACCAGAGGGGCCCCACTCCTGACAGAAGCCACTCCAGAGGACACCTGCAACCCCTCCCTTTTTTTTGAGTCGGAGTCTTGCTCTGTCACCCAGGTTGGAGTGCAGTGGTGACATCACGGCTCACTGCAACCTCTGCCTCCCAGGTTAAAGCGATTCTCCTGCCTCAGCCTCTTGAATAGCTGGGATTACAGGCACATGCCACCATGCCCAGCTAATTTTTGTATTTTTAGTAGAGATGGGGTTTCATCATGCTGGCCAGGCCGGTCTCAAACCCCTGACCTCAGGTGATCCACCCGCCTCAGCCTCCCAAAGCGCTGGGATCACAGGCGGGAGCCACCGCCCCCGGCCACATTTTTTTATTTTTTGTGGAGAGTCTTACTGTGTTGCTCAGGCTGGGCTCAAACTCCTGGGCCCAGTGGACCCTCCCATTTCGGAGGAGCTGGGACTCCAGGTTGAGCACACACCCTGCTCCTGAGGTGCCCATCTGCCCCCAGGGGGCTTTGTCTGGTGGGCATCGACGTCTCCCTGTCCCCTCCGCCCTGAATGCTGTGTGTTTGCTTGACCCCCAGCTGGGAAAAGCCACAGCGGATGTGCCGGGGGCCCGTGTCCCTGCGGCCCTGCCCTCCCCGGCCAGTCCATGTGGCGCTGGTGCTGGCACGGCCCGGGCGGCTGCTCTCGTCCCCCCCTTTCCCTCCCCAGGGACGTAACCCCACTATCTGAAAGCACACAGCCACATTTCTCGGGAGGCCCAACATCCCACTCCTGCACGGCGGAGGCTGCGGCCGCCTCGCGCTTCACGGGCATAGCCCCCGGGCCTGTTGAGAGCCGGCATATTGGGGCTATTGATTTTCTCCAGAACGATCAATATGGGCCGAGTGGGCACAGCAGGCGGGCTGCACTCGGAAGGGCAGCGCCTTCCTCCCGGGCCTGAAGCCGGACAGCAGGGGTGGGAGCCGGGGCAGGCGCGCGGGCAGGGAGCTCAGTTGGGCCCGCCGCCGCCCCCGTGAGGCATGGTGGTCGCAGATGCTGGACGCTGCTCGGGCCCAGCCGCACTGCAGGGGCCTCCTGCGCTCCTCGGCCTGGCCTCGGCCGCCCGCCCACCCCAGGCCGCCGGTGGTGTGGGACCTGTGTCTCTCCACCGGCCCAGGTGCCCCAGACGCTGCCGCCCCACCTAGCCTCACCGGCAACCACAGTCCCCTCCCGCCAGGCGTCCCGAGTCCTCCTCGGGACTTAGGGGTAGAAGGCTGATAGTGACGAGTCCCCCCATCCCGCCCTCACCCTCCAGGCAACCCCTGGGCTTCCCCTCGCTGCCTGCTTGGCACCGACGGCCCTGGGCCCTGGCCTCAGGCAGCTCCCTGGGTGTCCACGCTGGCCCCCTGCTGCGCCGCCCCAACCCCTCCTCCCAAATGCCTGTCTGCTCCGGTCTGTGCCCACTCCAGAATTTTCCATCCCAGACTGGGGTTTTCTCCATGGTTCCTTGTGAGGCAGAGACAAGCATCCAGACAGCTCTGAGACCCGTGGGGTCACAGGCAGGCCCCCGCGCCCGAGTCAGAGGGCGGAGGGAAACCCGGGGTGCTGCGGCCTTTCCGGGGAGGCAGGTTGCCCTGCGAGGCTCAGGCAGCCACGGCTCCCGCCCCTCCAGCCTCCAGAGGCTCCGGCATCCGCCTCCTCCAGCTCTCTGACTCGGTCTCCTGCCTCCCTCCGACAGGGACCCTGCGGTGGCGTTCGGCCATGGAAGTGCTGGGCGTCAGGGCACGGATGTTCTGTGGCCATCACAGGGCCGGGTGTCTCCAGGCTGCCCACTTGGTGGGGACCCCTTTCGCTTCCCGCAGCTTGCCCTCCGAGGCCCGACACCCACCTCCTTCATGAGGGGCTGGGTCTCCTGTCCTCGCCCTCGGTGTCCAGGACAGCGTCCAACACAGACGAGGCTGCTCACTGAGCGAGCTGGTGACCACCTGTGCCCGAAGCCTGGGCTGCCATCCCCTGCCTCCCACGCCATTCAGGGCAGAACTCGGGGCCCAGGGGTCCTTCTGGGTCCTCCACTGACATTCCCTCAGGCCCCTACTGACACCATCCCCGCTGAGACCGGCGAGGCAGAGGCCTGGAGGGCCGGGGCGCCAGGCTGGTCCGCTCCCAGCCCTTCCTCCGCAGGCCCCGGCCACTCCACCGCGTGCGGCAGAGGGCGCTGCAGCCGTGGCCAGAGGCAGCACGACCCCCACCCTCTGCAGGTCTGGCCTGGGGGTTCTGAGTGGACCAGGGCGGGTGCACCCAGGGCCCCAGGCCTGGAGCTCCCCGGGTCAGTAGGGGCAGAGGCTGTATCTGGGGAGCTGGGGGCCTAGGGCCCTCCCTGAGCCTGGGCAGATGCAGGTCCTCGCTGATGCATCAGAGCGGGGCTGGGGAGGCTGGCAAAGCCCCCCATAGCCAGGGCCTGGCCAAGCGTCACCAGACCCTGGAGTCTCAGGGCGGCCCCCATGAGGCCTGGGACAGAGGTCCCTACACTGTTAGGATGCTCGGGGCCGAGTATGGCCAGGTGCACCTCACCCCAGGGCGTGGGGTCACCAGGGCTGTGGGGTCACCTGGGGCGTGGGGTCACCGGGGCTGTGGGGTCATCTGGGGCGTGGGGTCACCGGGGCTGTGGGGTCACCTGGGGCGTGGGGTCACCTGGAGTGTGGGGTCACCTGGGGCATCGGGTCACCTGGGGCTGTGGGGTCACCTGGGGCTGTGGGGTCACCGGGGCTGTGGGTCACCTGGGGCTGTGGGGTCACCTGGGGCTGTGGGGTCACCTGGGGCTGTGGGTCACCTGGGGCTGTGGGGTCACCTGGGGCTGTGGGGTCACCGGGGCTGTGGGGTCACCTGGGGCTGTGGGGTCACCGGGGCTGTGGGGTCACCGGGGCTGTGGGTCACCTGGGGCTGTGGGGTCACCTGGGCTGGGGGTCACCTGGGCTGGGGGGTCACCTGGGCTGTGGGGTCACCTGGGCTGTGGGTCACCTGGAGTGGGCTTGGATGCTCCCTGTGAAAGAGCAGTAAGAAGCCGTAACTGGCATCCGTGCCCACATTGTCCCTGCCCTACTCCCATAGCCACTCCTGGGACTGGGGCCTCTCCAGGTGCCCCTGCCCCTCAGCATGAGACTTGGGCGGCTTCCCAGACCCTTTGTGGCGGTCACCAGCCGGGCCTTTGCAGGGCTCACTCTTAAGGCTGAACTTTTTCCTGTCCCTTCCTCCAAAGCCGGGGGTCCTGAGTGCAGCCGCAGACGCTGGGTGGTCACAGAGGCTGCCTGAAGAAACCAGGGGCAGGTCAGCGAGGGGCCCCCGGGCACAGGGAAGGGCCGGGCCCATTGCCCAAATCCCTGTGTACTGGATGCCACAGGGCGGGAGGGGCCGGTCTCCCACCTGACTGGGGGACGCCTGGAGTGCAGGGGTGAGGACCCAGGGTGTGGGTCACCCGGGCCCCTGGAAGGTGAAGGCCCAGGAGCTGGGGGCTTGGGACAGGGAGTGTCAGGGCCAGGCCAGGCTGGGGGCTGCTGTCCCATCCTCAGAGCTGGAGTCCCTGGGAAGGGCACTGTGGAGTCCTCCCAACCTGGGCCACTGGGGGCTGCTCCGGAGAGCACTGTGCCAAATGGGGGGCACACCTGGTGAATGCCAAGGCCAGGCACAGTCACATGTGGATGACGCCTGTGCCGGGATGAGCCAAGTCCCCACAATGCACGTCCACGCCAGGTCTGAATGGGACCTCATTTGGAAATGGTGGGGCCACCCTGCAGGTGTAACTGGTGAAGCTGAGGGCACAACGGGTAGGCACGGGCCCCAAATCCAGGGATGAGGTACCCCTAGGAGGGCAGAAGACACTCCCAGAGAAGACCCTGTAATGACAGAGGCAGAGACTGGGGAGACACAACCACGGGGCAAGGAACCAGCCACTCCTGGCGAGCTCTGCCCAGGACCTCGGCCTCCGGACCTACGTTCCAGGCCACCTGGGTTGTGCTCATTGTCACAGCAGCCCCAGGAAGCTAACACGGTCCCCACAGTGCACCAGCTAGGGCCACCCAGGAGTCAGTGGGAGCAGCAGAGGCCCTTGGGGTGCTTCTGGGGGAGGCTTTCCTGGGAGTAACAGGCAAGGGGAGGGTCCCCAGCTCCCCACTCCCACCCCAGGGGTGGCTGCAGCAGAGAAAGAAAGGCCCAGGGAAGCAGGGGGGTCCTCCATTAATGATCAATTGCAAACACCTCTGAGCTCTGGGCAGGCGGGCAGCGGTGGCCCCTGCAGGTGTCCCAGTCACAGCTGGGCCAGTGGAGATGGTCCGGGCTGACCAGGAGGGCCCGATGGCTGGGGGAGTTGGGCAGGTGCTCCAGGACCCTCCCTGCAGCCCACATGCCGGGCTCTGGCTAGGGGTCCCTGGGACTTCGCCCCCTTCCCCAGCCCCATCTCCAGGGCCCTCCTGCAGCCAGGACTGGCGTTCACCCCACTGGCTGCAGAGACAGGATGTCCTCTAGAGAGGCCTACTCCAGAACTCAAAATAGCATGAAATTTAATTTTCCGCCTATTTGACAAGGCTGGGTCCGGGCCCCAGTTAGCAGCAGAGATAAGGGTCCCGGGGGCCCAGGGGCCAGCCAGCTGCGCCCACACAAACACTCCACGGTCCCCGGGCAGGCCGCGTGCAGGTGAGGCCGGGGGTGTGCTCCCCTCTTGGGGCCCTGGTTGCTGGGCGCTAAAGCAAACGGGCTCTATTTGCCCAGTCTGCGATGACAATGCTGTCGCCAAATATTTGCCAGCCCCTGGCGGCTGCAGAGCCCGGCTATAAATGCTTGTGTCCAGGTGGAGGTGCGCCTGTGGAGCAAGAGCTGTGGGCCCCGATCAGGTAGGAGCCAGGGCCTGGGGGGCGGGGGCTGCTGAGGACTGCCACAGCCGTGAGCACTTTGAGTCTGTGAGTCCTTCTGTCCAGGGCTTTGCGGGGACCACCCACCCCTGGGTGAGCCCCCAGAGCGTTGGGCTGGCCCAGGGCTGGGCAGGCATCGGGGCAGGTGGTCATGGGAGGGTGCCTGCATCTGGACAGTCTGTGAGCAGCCCCAAAGTCCAGGGCTCAGGCCACTGGACGCCTCCCAGGACGGGGACCCCAGCACTTGAGTGAGATTAGGACCATGGTGTGGTCAGCCATGTCGGGTCGGGGGGCCTTGAAGCTCACCTCCCCGCCAGCCAGCAGGGAAACATCCTGACCCGGAGGAACGCCTGTCCCAGTGCCCTGGCTGCTCCTCGCATCCCTCCTCCCTCCCCGCAGACCTCCCTCCCTCCCCGCAGACCTCCCTCCCTCCCCGCAGCCCTCCTCCCTCCCCGCAGACCTCCTCCCTCCCCGCAGACCTCCTCCCTCCCTCTGCCCCCCTGTCCTAGGCTCCAGACAAGATGGGCTCCAGGCTACCTGGCCCCGGGACACCTGGAGGGGCTGGGCGGCCCTGGTCTCTGTGGTGGGCCCTGCCTGGCAGCTGGCCCAAAGGGGAGCTGCACCCATCCCACAGTCACTGCCCAGACACCCTCCTGCCAGGCCCCTCACCCCAGGGCTTCCCCTGAGGGGTCCCCGCCAGGTGCAGTGACCCCTGCAGCCCACCCCTTTAGCGACCTTCCACCTCAGCTGCCTCCATCATCACAGAGTTAGGGCCACTGGGGTGCTGCCTCCTGCTCCCATGGGACTGCGATGGCCCCGAAGAACCGCACAGCGGCTGCACCAGCTCTGGGCCCAGTGTGGCCGATGTCCCCCCTTTGACTAAGAACCATGGAGCCCTTGGGTCCGATGCTACAGCAGCCCCAACCTGGGACCCAGCTCCGGTTCAGCAGCCTCCGTCCCCCTGCCCTGGCCTGTGAGGGTCCCTGGCCACCTGCCTGGCTTCTCCAGGTCCAGTCCCCAGGGCTCCTCTCTTCCACCCAATGTGCTCCCCTCCCCAGTGACCACAATTCTAGTGACGCCATCCCCGGGCCCCGCCCGACTGCCCCCACAACAGGACCCCATGGCTCCTGCCAGTGGCCATCCTGAGTCCAGCAGGCCTCAGCCCCGGCTGACCATGCCCTCATACCCCTGCCACGTGGCCACAGTGCCCACCCTGTCTCTCCCCACACCTCACTCCTGTGGTGATCCACACCCTCGACAAGCACAACTGGAGGGCCGGGACCTCCAGGGAGCCGAGGCGCTGAGGAAGGTCTCCAGGGGAGGCCACAGACCTGTGGGCTCTGAGTGCAGCGGTCGTGGGTGGCCGGGGCATGGCCAGGCCTGACGGGGAACCCGCCCCTCGGTCTCCCTCCCCAGCCAGCGCCTGCTGCCCCGGAGGTCCCCGAAGCGCGGGACAGTGCGGAAATGGCCGCTGGCGTGATCCGGCCCCTGTGCGACTTCCGGCTGCCCCTGCTGCGCCACCACCCCTTCCCGCCCTCAGATCTGGAGCCCCCAGAGACTTCAGAGGAGGAGGAGGAGGAGGAGGAAGAGGAGGAGGAGGAGGAGCTGGAGGGTAAGGGGCTGGGGGGCCGCAGCCCGATCCTCCCGAGCTCAGGCCGGGCAGAGGCCCCCGCGGAGGCAGCCCCTCAGGGTCCCAGCAGCGCCGAGACACCGCTGCAGCTGCTGCGTTTCTCAGAGCTCATCAGCGACGACATCCGGCGGTACTTTGGCCGCAAGGACAAGGGGCAGGACCCAGATGCCTGCGACATCTACGCCGACAGCCGCCCAGCCAGCGTCACTGCCCGGGAGCTCTACTACGCAGACCTGGTGCGCCTGGCCCGCGGCGGGGCCCTGGAGGACGAGGACACCCAGGAGCCCAGGGTCCCTCAGGGGCAGGTGCACAGGCCGGGCCTCAGCGGGGACGGGGCACAGCCCCTGGGACCACTGGCCGAGCTCTTTGACTATGGGCTGCGGCGGTACTGGGGGCCCAGGGCGGCGGCCAGCTGGAGCCTGAGGCTGGAGCGGAAGTACGGCCATATCACCCCCATGGCCCAGAGGAAGCTGCCCCCGTCCTTCTGGAAGGAGCCGACCCCCAGTCCCCTGGGCCTGCTGCACCCTGGCACGCCGGACTTCAGCGACCTGCTGGCCAGCTGGTCAGCCGAGGGCTGTCCTGAGCTGCCTGGTGGGGGAACCCCAGCCCTGGAAGGGGCACAGCCAGCTGAGGCCTAGTGAGGGTCAGGGTCGGAGTCAGCTGGCCGCAGCGGGGCTGTCCCCCGAGGTGAAAGACTTTCCTCCTGTCCTCCTGGGAAGAGCCTCCTCCATCCCTCTTGGCCACCACAGGGCAAACCTAGACGCCACCAGGGCTGGGCTGCGGTGGGAGCAGCAAGGGTGGTGCCCAGACCTGGCCATGCCCTGGCCTTCAGCCCCAGCAGAGCCCCTGGAGGGGCACAGGGACCCCCAGAGCCCTGCCCAAAGGAGACTTAGACTCGGGGGGCTCCACCCACCAGCAGCCCCCAGGGGAGGCTGAGGGGCCAGCCCCAGAGATTCCAGGTCAGCGGCACGGGACAGTGGAGGACACTGCCCCCTGGGCTGGCCCTCCCACTGCCTGCTCGCCCTAGGGCTGGGTGGCCTGGGACCCGCAGCCCCTCCCCTGGGCCCCCACGCAGCATGCGGCGGGGCCAGCAACCACAGGATGAGCGAGGGCTTTCCTGGAGAGGCAGGAAGAGGACCACTGCCTGACCGAAAGAGCCAACAAGGGCTGTTTCCTCCCCAGATGCTAGAAGGCGCTTCCCTGCAGGGGCACCGGGCTGGAGGGCCTTCGAGGCAGAGCAGGGAGCCTGAGGCAGGCCAGGCAGCTTCCCCGAGTCCTCCTCACAACCCAGGCAGGGGCAGCTCGTGGCGGGTTCTGGCGGGGACTGGCCTGGGTGCTTCTGTGCAAGCCCCGGCCCAGCCGCTTCCATCCCAGGGGGCTCTGGCAGCCCTAGGGGGCCCGGCAGGGAGGGAGAGGGGCTGGAGTGCCATGAAAAGCAAAGGCCTGCGGCCGGGCCGGGCCTCTCACCACAGGAAGGGTCATGGGGGTTGAGGGACTGGGCCCCCCCAGGCTTGGGCAGCCCGCTGCCCGGGGCTTCAGCACCCCTTTCGGCACCACAGGCCCTGGGAAGGCCCCCCGGCAGGCATCAGGGCACCTCAGCTCTAATGAGAACAAGGCCAGCACGTTTACTTCTGGATAAAGAGCAAGGGTGGGAGCTGCTGCACCTGCTCCCGGCTGTGGGGCTTCTTGGGGACCCCTCCTGGCCTCTGATGGGCCCTGAGCTTTGTGAGAGACACCTTCCACTGCAGCCACCTGTCCAGAGATGTGGCACGTGGCCCCTGCACTCCTGCCCCACTCCCCTTGGGACCCCCAACCCCGAACCCTGACCCAAAGGTCCAGGAGGCCGCTCGAGAATCCCTGCTGCCCACCTCATGGCCTGGTACACGCCCCAGCAGTTCACAGGTGCCACGTTGCCGGGCGCTACGTCCTTGATGAAGACCCGCTGACTCGCCAGGGACGGAAGCGCCTTTCGGCTGCCCAGTGGTGCCTGAGGGCCCTTCTCACTCCACAGCCGCAGCACGGTCTCCCTCAGGGCAGCCACCTCCTGCGTGCGCTGTGGGAAGGGGATGCCAGCGTCACCCCGGAGCCAGACCCCTGGGCAGCGGACGGCAAACAGGGGGCTTATCTCCCACCTGGAGCCCAGAAGCCATTGTCTTCAGGGAAACACTGCCCAGCGCCAGACGCTCAGACAGACAGATGTGGGCGCCTGCCGTGGGGCAGGCGGGAAGGCAGCAGGGCTGAGGGAGTGGGTGGGTGCCGGGTGCTGGCAGCCCAGGGCCTCCTCACCAGCCGGGCCTCGCTGTTGAACTTGAGGTTCTGGATGGTCTTGTTGGCCTGGATGCAGTTTTCCAGCTTCATTATTTGGTTCTGAAACTAAACATGGCCCCCATTTGGGCACAGACGGGGCTGGTCGGCCGGGGTCCTGCTGTTCGCACGGACGTCCCCACTCCTGCTATTGATTGCTTAGAGTTTGGGCAGGGGGCACCTGCCCACACACTGGCCCTTGCCCCACGTCAGGGCCTGGGACAAGAAGGGGTGGCTGGAGATTGACCCCGCAAGGACCTGGGTCAGGGCTGCTCCTGCCCTCGTGGCTGCAGACGCCCCAGTGTGGGAGCTCCAAGCAGGTGACTCCACTTGGAACTTCCAGAGGCTGAGACAAGCCGGCGCCCTCCGGAGTAGCTGAGATTACAAGCATGCGCCCCCACACCTGGCTAATTTTAGTATTTTTAGTAGAAATGGGGTTTTTCTACGTTGGTCAGGCTGGTCTAAAACTCCCGACCTCAGGTGATTCATCTGCCTCGGCCTCCCAGAGTGCTGGGATTCCAGGCGTGAGCTACTGCGCCCAGCCTCAGACAGCTGGTTTTCTGAGCCTCGCCTGCTGGCTGGAAAATGCCCCTTAGGCTGGGGGTCCTGCCCACACGGCTGCCCCGTCTGACCCCGATGGCTCCCGTTCTCCCCTAGCTGAGAGAGGGCAGCCCCGGGATTACCGTGGCCAGCTTGCCCTGCATCTCCGCGATCTTCCGCCCGGGGCTGTCTTCCTTCAGCAGCTGCACGGATGACAGCAGCGTGGCCAGCTCCTGCCGCAGGGCCCCCACCTCCAACTCCCTGTGGCACCAGATGCCGGGGCCAGCTGTGGTGTGTGCTCGGGGGTAGGGCCGGGACCAGGGACATGGGCTGCTCCCATAGCCGCCATAGGGCTAAGGAGGCTTGAGGGGGATCAGCTCTGTCACCCCTCCAGTGAGGAAGGTGGAAGTCCCCAGCAGATGGCAGAGGGAGGGCTTGAGGCTCCTCAGAGCAGCACCAGGGTGGCAGGTGAGCACATCTGTCACGGCACTGGGGGGCTTGTGGAGAGCAGCAAGCGTGGGGAACTGGCCCAGCCCAGTGACGGTCAGTGGGGCCCCTGCCCCTCTCCCGGGGCCCCGGAGGCTGCACCTGGCCTTGCCTTCGGCAGAAATCCTGAGGTCCGAGTCGCTCTTGTGAAGCAGGCACTTGTCTGAGATGCCCTCTATCTGAACAGAGCCAGGAATGGCGGGTGGCCCCAGGGCCTGGTCTAGCACCAGCCTCGGCCTCAGCCCCCCGGAGAGGGAGGAGGGGAGAGGACAGGGAGGGGAAGGGTCCCACACCACCACCAAGGCTAAATGCACCAGGCTGGCTGTGCCTTCGCCCACCTTCTGGGGGAGGCCGTCCAGCTTCTCCCGCACACCCCGCAGGTGCGCGGCCACCTCCTTCTGCCATCTGGCCAAGTCCTCCAGGGACTTCCTCTCTGCACCTTCCCATTCAGTCTTGACCTGGGATACAGACACCCAGTGAGAGACAGAGCCCAAATTGGGAGGACAGACGGATGGATGGATGGATGGACAGGGCCCCAGGGTGGACAGACGGACACAGGAAGCTCCGGGGGGCAGGCGGCCCCCATGTGCACTTCTGACTCAGACATTTGTGCACTGGTCTGCAGGCAGCGGGATGGCCCAGCCAGGCACGCTCTGGGGACACACATGCCAGGCGGGCCTGGGCAGCCAAGGGACTGTGGGGCTGTTCTGACCACACAGGTGCCCAAGTGAGGCAGGGCCGGACCCAGTGGGATTCAGCCCGGAATCACAGGCTGTCACCATGTCTGTCGGTGGATGAGTGGGAACATGGGGGCGGTGTCCACGCAAGGCGCATTATGCAGCGGTGGAAGGGATGAAGCCTTGTGTATGAGCCAGAGTGGGGAAACAGGACACTCGTGGGTGTCCCTGACAAAACGGCCGCATGGTGCATGGCTCCGTTTCCTGGAAATGTTCAGAACAGGTTGGGTCGGGAGACAGGGAGGGGCCCGAGTGGCCAGGGGGCAGGGGATGGGAATGAGCGCAGAGGGGTCCGGGATTCTCTCTGGGGGATGAACGCTGTGAAACTGTGGGCACGATGGCCAGCCCTGTAGACAGACTAAACACAGAACTGCATGCATTCACGGGAGAGCTGTGTGGGGAGACAATCCTTCTCAATGGAGCTGTTAAAAAGTGAACATGTGCATGCCGGTGGAGGCTGCTTGTCTGCCCCTCTGCGAACTGCCCGCATAGCTGGGCCATGGGTCAAGGCTCCAACTCAGGCCTCAGGGGCTGCAAGTGCTGGACCGAGACCGCTCAGGGGCTGTCCTGCCCCACACAGGAGTCTCTGGGACTCGGAATCCCCCAGGCCTGGGGACAGTTGCTGGGTGGGATGGGAGGCTTTCGACAGGCCTCTCAGGCCTCTACCCTGGGGGCAATGGTGGGCTGAGAGCCGAGGGATGGGGACTCCCCCAGCCTGCCTGCCCCCCACTGCCTGGCGCACCTCGGACAGCCTGAGGCCCAGCATCTGCTCCTGCAGGTCCAGCCGGCTGCTCAGGGCTGGGAGGCAGCCACTCAGCTCCTTTACCTGCCCGGCCAGCTGCACCACTGACGCCTCCAGAGCCTGGCTCTTCTCTCGGAGCTGCGGGGGACAGGTGGGCGTGGGGAGGCCCGGCTAAGGGCCCATCCTGTGTGTGTGGGGGACCCCGTGGGGGACGTGACACACTGCCCCCCCTCACCAGTGCCAGCTCGCCGTGCATCTCCTGCCGGGCCAGCTCCCCCGCCAGCTGCGCGGCCTCCAGGTTCTCCTGCACATAGGCGGTCAGCTCCCCGGCCTGGCTCTCCTCCAAGCGCCCCTTGACGTCCCTAGCAGTTGGGGACACATAGATGCCCTCTGTGGGTCCTGCCCACCCCTCAGCACTGGGCACAGGAGGGAAGCTTGGCTGCTGGCTCTGGAACCTCCCAGGAGACCCCGGGATCAGAAGATGGGGTGCAGTCACAGTGCCACCAAGATAGGGCTTCACTGCTGACTGCCACAGCTGAGCACTCCAGGGAGGACAGGCTGGGCAAGCGGCAGGAGTCCCCACGGGATGAGTGGCCGCACAGCTGCCCCTTCTGAACCTGGCTGCACCTCTGGGGTCAAGCACTCTGCTGGGAAAGGCAAGGTCATTCCCTGCCGAGTTGGCCACCGTGGCCCCTCCTGAGTGGGACATCAGGGTCCCCCCGGCCTGACAGCACCTGAGGCCCCAGGATACCCACCAGGCCTTCTCCTCGGCCAGCAGGACACGGTTCAGCGACGCCTGGTTCTGCTGCACGAACTTGGTGAGCTGGGCCACAGCCGCATCTAGGCCCTGGCACTGCTCCAGGAGGTGGCTCTCCTGCTGTGGGGTGGAGGCCGCCCTGAGACCCGCACCCCGGCCCCGGCCCTGGCCGCCCGCCCACCGCCCACCTGGCCCACCTCACGCTGCCCACGCAGGGCCTGCAGGCGCTCCTCCATCAGTCCCCGCAGCTTCTCCCACCGGCTCTCCAGCTCGCCCCGCAGGCTGCCCTCCAGCCTCAGCCTCGAGCTCTCCGAGGCCCTCATTCTCTGCGGGGAGACCCCACCGTCTGCTGCAGGCCTGCCTCTGGGAAGGGGGTGCGGGGCAGGCCGGCCACAGGCAGGCTCCCACCTTCTCGAGGGCCAGGAAGCTCTTCTGTAGGAAGCCGCACAGCTTGGCCTCCCTCTTCAGGAAGCGCAGGCTCACCTCTTCGCCGAGCCTGGTCATCTGGGCCTGCAGCAGGGGCGCATTGTCCTGTGGGCAGCCTCTCCCAGACACCCGGCCGGTCCTGCTTCTGCCCGTGGTCTCCAGCAGAGGTGGAGGCCCCTGCTGTCCCCCAGCCCAGCAGAGTGGGGCCTGCCACACCCTCGGCAGGAAGAAAGCCAGGACGGGCAGCAGCACTCTGTACCCACTGACCAGGCACGGGCTTGAGAAGCATCTGAAGGCCACGCTCACGTGAGGTCCAGACACCCTTGGCATCCACCACCGATGCCACCCAGGGAAGGCCGCCCAGCTGCCACCATGCCCCGGCAGGGAAGTGGGTGTGCCATGTGGGCATCCCCATGCAGGGGGAGCCAGGCAGGCTGGCCAGAGCCTTGGGGCCCTGTCTCCGCCCCAACGGCTGCTTTCCTGCCGCACTGAGGGTCTGAAGGTGAGGGGAGAGCAGAGACGCCAGCAGCCCTGTCCCTGCATCTCACACACCCAAAGGACAGGCAGGTGGCACAGGCCCTTCACCAGCCAGAGAGAGAGCACCTCCTGGGAAGCTTCCCCTCCGCGCAAGCCCCTGTTGGACCCCTGCCTCCAGGAGGCCACCTTAGAGCAGGTTTTTTGTAAAAAGCCAGATGGTACACGTTTGAACCTTGTGGGGTCTCTGTTGTAACCCTCTCAGCACGGCGGTTACAGCCCCCAGAGCAGACATTGATAATGTGTAAAAAATGTTTCTGGCTGGGCGCGGTGGCTCACGCCTGTAATCCCAGCACTTTGGGAGGCCGAGGCGGGGGGATCACGAGGTCAAGAGATCGAGACCATCCTGGTCAACATGGTGAAACCCCGTCTCTACTAAAAATACAAAAAATAAGCTGGGCATGGTGGCACGTGCCTGTAATCCCAGCTACTCAGGAGGCTGAGGCAAGAGAAATCCCTGAACACAGGAGGCAGAGGTTGCAGTGAGCTGAGATCACGGCATTGCACTCCAGCCTGGGCAACAAGAATGAAACTCTGTCTCAAAAAAAAAAAAAGTTTCTGTGTGCCAATAAAACTTTATTAACAAAAACAAGCAATGGCTGGCTCAGTGGCTCACACCTGTAATCCCAACACTTTGGGAGGCCAAGGTGGGCGGATCACCTGAGGTCAGGAGTTCGAGACCAGCCTGGCCAACATAGTGAAACCCCATCTCCACTAAAAGTACAAAAATTAGCCAGGCGTGGTGGCGGGTGCCTGTCATTCTAGCTACTCTGGAGGAGGCTGAGGCAGGAGAATCGCTTGAACCCAGGACATGGAGGTTGCAGTGAGCCAAGACTGTCCCACTGCATTCCAGCCTGGGCGACAGAGCCAGACTCTTTTTTTTTTTTTACCCTCCTCTCCACTACCAAGACTGTCTCAAAAGAAAAAAAAACTTTTTGGGAGGTCGAGGTAGGAGGATCACTTGAGCCCAGGAGTTTGAGACCAGCCTGGACAATGCAGCGAGACCTCGTCTCCACAAAACATAAAAAAATTACCCAGGCAGGGTACATGTGCCCATGGTCCCAGCTACTTGGGAGGCCGAGGCAGCAGGATCACTTGAGCCTGGGAGGTTGAGGCTGCAGTGAGCTGTGATTGTATCACTGCACTCCAGCCTGAGCAAACGAGCAATATCCTGTCTTAAGAAACAAGTGGTGGCCTGGCTCTGCTGCCTCTGGCCCTAGAGAGCACTCAGCCACCCGTGCTCAGGGAAAGGCGGACGCCCCCATAAGCGGCAGCTTCCCAACACCTGGCACCTCGGGAATCCTCAGCCCAGCACCTCTGCCTGCTCCACACAGCGACTCAATAGCTTCCCAAAGGGCAGCAGAGCTGTGGGGGTGGCAGCTGGGGCCCCCCGGCAGTCCTGGCCCCACACCCGGTGTGAAGCCTGGTACGCACGGAACCCACTACAGTCCCATCTCTCTTTGTGGAGCTCAGGCCTGGGCTACAGAAACGTGCAGCTGCCCGGTCCCCTCCCCAGCCATCGCGGGGGCCCCTGCCAAGGCCACAGTGGGAAGGGGAGCTGCTCTGGCCCGGTGGGCGGGACCCTGGGTCCTAGGAACTCGTGTCCTCAGAAAGGCGACCCCTGCTTTGTGTGCAGGGAAAGGTAAAGCCTGAAAGTGGCCGTGGAAGGGGCTTCGGGGCTGAGAACTGTTGATCTGGGCAGGCGCCGGCTGTGTGGGGAGGGCTGCAGGGGCAGGACACAGGCAGCTTCCTGGGGCGAAGCACACCCGGATCTCAGCTGCCGGCCTCACATGGCCACTGAGTGTTTGTTTTTTTTTTGAGATGGGGTCTTGCTGTGTTGCCCAGGCTGGTCTTGACTTCCCAGGCTCCAGTGATCCTCCCGCCTCCGCCTCTTGAAGTGCTGGGATTACAGGCATAAGCCACTGCACACGGCCTGAGCTGTTGCAACGGGGCACGTCTGACTGAGGAATTTCATTTTAAATCTACAATCGTAGCTGATTTCAATGGACACAGCTACGTGGCGAGCGGCCGCCACATTGGATGGCACCGGCCAGGAGGAATGTCTCCTCCTCGCCCTCTAGCTGGACCTGGACTGGCCCCCTGAAGGCTGAGCCTGGCCCAGTGGTACCTCCATCCTGGCCACCTCCAGGTCCACCCTCCGGCTGCTGTCCTCCTGGTCCTTCCGCAGGGCGCTGCAGGCCACCTCCCGGCCCTCCTCCTCCTGCCGCAGCAAGTCGGTCAGCTTGGCCAGCCTAGAGACATCGGCTGCGGTCACACCAGGGTGGGGCTGACCCACAGGCCGGCCACGCAGCAGGTGGACGACACCCGCCCATTCCAGGGAAACAGAGGAGCCGGAAACACAGCACCAGGAGCAGGGCTGGGCCGGTGCGAGTCTTCCCGAGGGTCCTCAGCGGGCCCAGGCTCTCCAGCACGCTGAGCACCCAGTGCGGGTGCCCCTCTGGCTTACTGGGGATGCATGGCAGGGAGACCCACGTCTTGGCTCAGCCAAGGACTCTCAAATGACTCCACGCAAGGTCCGGAGCCAGCCCTGGGCGGCTGGTGCCCACCTGAGGCCGGCCTCCTGCTCGGCGCCCTTCCACTCTGCCTCCAGCTGTGCCTGCCTCCTCCGGAGCTGGCTCAAGGCTTCCCGGACCTCCACCAGCCTGGCACACAACCAAGCCGCTCCCGAGAGGCCCAGGCGGGCTGAGCAGCCTCTGGGGGCTGGGGTCCAGCTGAGGGGCCCCTGTGGCCACCTCCCAAGGCTTTCCCGGGTCTCTGTGGGCCGGCCAGGAGTGTACAAACCCGGCCCTTTCTAGCTGGACCTGGATGTGTATCCCTTACTCCAGGACACCCGGTGGGGGAAGTGTGCCCCCACCAGACCTGCCACTGCTCTCCCACCGCGGCCTCCCCGCCCCGGGCCTACGCCTCTGGGTGTGTGAGGCTTACCTTTTGTCCAGGCCCTGCATCTGGTTCTGCAGGCCAGAGAACTGAGAGGAGGAAGAGGGGAAGAAGGAGGAG